ATTTAACTTCTTTTGGACTGATGAACTGCAACACCCGCTAACTGCCATTAAACAGCTTGGAAGATCAAAGACCATTTTTAATATAACTCTGACTGGATTCGTCTGAAAGAAGAAAGTCATATACACCTAGGATGCCTTGAGGGTGAGTAATTCATGGGCTAATTTTCATTTTTGGGTGAACTAACCCTTTGATAACACACTGACTGCTCACTACGTCCATCTGTTCCCGTGGGTCATAGGTCAACACGAGCCAATATCTCAGCACATGATACGATCGTAAAGAGCCATTTTAACACCTGGTTGTTATTCAATGTATTTATTGGAGCATTAAAGCTCTCCCGAGTCTTGCATTATGAATTCGAAATGAGGAATAATTCATTTCTTTGTTAGACAGATTCTTTCAGGTTTATTTTTGTCTGTATTCCATTTATAGCTATACTGCATTTCACACACAACAGAATGTTTGTGGTAATATTTTTTAAAAAGACATTAATACTTTTTATCCAGTAATGACTTATTAAATTAATCAAAATTTTGAAATGTTTCTTCTTCAGCAAATCTGCATATAACGATTTCTGACGGATCATATGACACTGAAGACTGTAATAAATTCAGATTTGATCACAGGAATTAATTAAAATAAAAAAAAATTAATTGAATTAAAGTGAGCACAGATTTGGAGCATGCCATGCTTTATACACTATAATGCTTGCATGCACATGTACTTGCTGCATCTTATATCTTAAGACATAAAGCCCTACAGGTGTTTTACCTCTATGCATTCACATTGTCTGCGACCGTGACTTAAACCAGCATCCTTTTAGTTTGTTCTGACATGCTGAGACCACACAGTGAGTCAAATGTCAGATAAGAGTCTTCTGTGTCTGCACTATTGCAATCTTAGTGTTTAATATAGACGGCATATTTACTAGGCGGTGGTTTACATTACAGATTTCAACTACCCAGTTATTTTTAGTACTTAAATGGTATTTTAAGTTTGTTGGATTGTATACTTAAAAGAAACGATACAAGAGAAACGTGCTGGGAAGTGTTGCGCTCTGCTGGATTTATGTGCAGTACATTATTTGTGTTACTGTCTGACATGTTTGAGCAGTGGTATGAGTCACGACTGTATTCTTCAGACTTTAATAGGAAGGTTCATGATGTTTCTATTTTGAGCCGGTATTGAGCGGGGTGATGATTTCAGCTTACACACAATATGATATTTATAGCTACAGGAGTGTACATTTTGTCTCACATTTAAGCTTAAGGTCCTGTCTTCATTGAGGTACATGCAGTGTCTGTTTGCCTAAAAACTCATCATGAACTGAAATGTCAGGTTTTATTGTCATCTCATGCCTGTACAGTAACGAAATCAGACTGCTATTGTCACGCTGTTAATAGTAAATTACTAAGCTTAACTTTGCAATGTTTTTACCAGAAGCTTTGAAAGACGAGGTTTTGTGCAAGTGTGGTGGTGGTTTAATGAAGAACAATAGAAAATGTAATCAACAGTTTAATGAAGATCGCAGAAAGTCTGAACTTATTTGCAGCATATTCTGGACAATAACCACCTAATTATACAGGAAGAGTAGCTTGACTGACGTGTTAATCGTTCAATAATTGATTGTGCCATTTAGGGGCAGAGTTTATGCAAGATAGAACACCATTCAGAACTTTCAATGCATTTTCTTTTGTATTTATTTATTTATTTATTTTTTGTTTGTTTGAAAGATGTCTCTTACCAAGGCTCCATTTAGGCTATTTGATCAAAAATACAGTAAAACAATATTGCAAAATATTATTACAATTTAAAATAACTGTTTTCTATTTGAACATATTTTAAAATGCAATTTATTTCTGTGATCAAAGCTGAATTTTCAGTATCATTTCTCCAGTCTTCAGTGTCACGTGATCCTTCAGAAATCATTCTAATATGCTGATTTGCTGCTGAAGAAACATTTATTCTGTACATTCTTCTGTACATCTGTGTCCACAATGCAATGCAGTCATGTAGCATTTCATTGAAAAATGCAGCTTGTTACTGGAAAAGCTGCATGAAAACTGTTGAATTGTTGTCACGCCACTAAATAAATGTAATCAAGTTAGTAGCTTTGCTACTTTTAACCACTTCCCAACACTGTTGTGTGAATATAATTGTCAGTGTAGTGGCTGATGAAGCTGCAGTCAGAAGGCAAGTCTTGTGCATGTGTTTGTGTGCGGACATATCTCTAGGCAGAGCTCTGTCTCCTGGAGAAGCGTTTGAGGGGTCTCTTAGTTTATCTGCCTCTGATTGGCCACATCATCTGTGAGCCACACGCACATGTGTGCCTTGTGTCTGCCCCTCCCACCCTTCAGATGAAGTAGCGCGCTGCAGAGGAGGCAGTCAGACAGTCATCCTCACCGCATATCGACCTGAGAACTAATAAGACTCGCGGCTGCTACTGATGAGAGGCTTTGAGCACAACCCTACCAAACGTGTTTCTCCAAAACCGTCTCACAGCATCAGCTCTACTCGTCTACCATCCTCTTTCTGTGTTGATAGAGGTGTTTGAGGGTGCTGGGGTGGTAAAATGGGCAGACAAGGGCAGGATGGCAGCGCCGCTCTCCCCGGCATGCGAATGCAGCGCTCACAGAGCCGGCTTAGCCTGTCTGCCTCCTTCGAGGCACTGGCCGTCTACTTCCCCTGCATGAACTCCTTTGACGAGACAGACAGAGGTAAGAATGAAGCCACATGCCAAGTGTGACAGGCGCTGATATGTCCAGTTCTTTTGAAAGCTTTTTGTTAGCACTGTTTTTCGTTGTGTTGTGTTGTGAATGGTTTGTGACCAACTGGAAGCCAGAAGAGCTGTATATGATGTGTGATTTATGTTGGTTTCTCTGCTTTGATTGGATGTGTATAATCTGGATGGATGGATAGATAGATAGATAGGGACATCTATGGGACACTCGGGACTGTGCTGCTGCTCAGAGTGGCAGACTGACGCCCCCTGTTGGTCATAACACGTCTTTGTTTAAGCATCTCATTCAGTGGTTGTCAATGATGTGTTTTTCTTAAAGGGTGAAATATGTAATGTTTTCAGATGTTAAAATACTTTCTCCGACCCAGTTTGATTAGCAGAGACAACACTAAGAAACCATTTGTAGCGTGAACACTATTGATCTGTGGCTCTTTCAGAACATTGCTGTTTGTTTGGTGGTTTGACATGTCGACATCTGGCAACTCTTCTGCCGCAAGTTTGGGATGGGACTATATGTTTGCCCAAACAATGGCAGTAGGTGTGGAGTGGCAGTGTTATAGCCGAGACCAGCTCATTCAAGTCAGAGTCCAGGCTGAGACCTGAGTAGGTTGAGTCTGAGACAAGACAGAGAGTGGAAGAGGCTCTGAATGTTTCCTATGGTATGAATGAAGCCTGGTTTCACGTCAGTGTCACGTGACACTCCGCAGCACACAGTGATAGACGATTGCACTGAGAGACCTTGTGTGTGAGTTGGTACTCAGATTTGTAGAACTCAACACTGCACTTGATCCGATTTAAGGCTGAGTCCAAGTGCTCCCGAGTCACGACAAGACCAAGACCAAGAAACTGTGGTGTTGGATTCAGAATCAAGAAGGGCTCGAGACACTGTTTGTAGAAGTGTCACACATTTACTCATCTTCCCTTCCCTTGTTGTCATTTTCAGAGGAGGGTAAGAAGAAGAAGCCGGTGCGTCTGGCGATCCAGCGGAGCGTAGAGACTGGTTTAGCAGTCGAGATGAAGAGCAGGATGACACGGCAGCCCAGCCGAGAGACCACAGAAGACAGTGAAAAGGCAAAACCTGGAAAGTAAGTACTGTAAAATCTACTTCTGAATACGATGGTGCATGTATTCCTAAATCACATGATGCCATCACCACTATTGCTGGTTGGCGGGTTTTGTGTCAGTGATGATGTCTTGTCAGAGGCTATTAGCACCCGATTAATAGATGTTCTGTCCATTATCTGTTCAAAGTCTAATCTTCCCTGGAGTGAAGATCTCTTCAGACAGCCAGTTCACTGAGTTTTTGGATGGTCTTGGCCCCGCCCAACTCGCAGGGAGACAGACACTGGCCACGCCCCCAATGGGTTAGTATCATTGCTTACTGTTTTCTTTTGTTGTTCACATGAACAACTCTCTCTGGTGTTGAATAAGACACTGTAAAGCTCAAAGTGTATTTCAGTTTTGTCTCAAGTAGTTCCAATTCTTCCATGAAACAAGACTATGTCTCCAACTGGTTTTTCCAACTGGTTTTAAGATGTGTTTTCAGTGACCCGATCACCATTACTATTTACACCTGCTCTTAACATGCCATTTACATGCATCTCCTGTTACCATTTGTGTTGGAATTTCGTCTAGACCAGGGGTGTCCAAACCTACTCCTGGAGGGCCACTTTCCTGCAGTTTAGCTCTAACTCTAATACACACACCTGAACCAGCTAATCAAGGTCTACATCCGAAAACCTAGGCAGCTGGCTTGCTGTTATCCGGCAATGACTTTGCAGGCGGCGTTTGCGCACGAAGGCACCTCACAAAACTGATTTCAGACATGCTTCTGAGGCAGCGTAACGGTTTAATCATCTACAACAAAATAGAACGAGCTTGGTGATATCTAAGCCAATATTCAATTACTATAATACTGATTTCTCGCTAGAAATAACATCAAAAGTGCAAAAAGTTCCTGCATGAACTCCTTTGACGAGACAGACAGAGGTAAGAATGAAGCCACATGCCAAGTGTGACAGGCGCTGATATGTCCAGTTCTTTTGAAAGCTTTTTGTTAGCACTGTTTTTCGTTGTGTTGTGTTGTGAATGGTTTGTGACCAACTGGAAGCCAGAAGAGCTGTATATGATGTGTGATTTATGTTGGTTTCTCTGCTTTGATTGGATGTGTATAATCTGGATGGATGGATAGATAGATAGATAGGGACATCTATGGGACACTCGGGACTGTGCTGCTGCTCAGAGTGGCAGACTGACGCCCCCTGTTGGTCATAACACGTCTTTGTTTAAGCATCTCATTCAGTGGTTGTCAATGATGTGTTTTTCTTAAAGGGTGAAATATGTAATGTTTTCAGATGTTAAAATACTTTCTCCGACCCAGTTTGATTAGCAGAGACAACACTAAGAAACCATTTGTAGCGTGAACACTATTGATCTGTGGCTCTTTCAGAACATTGCTGTTTGTTTGGTGGTTTGACATGTCGACATCTGGCAACTCTTCTGCCGCAAGTTTGGGATGGGACTATATGTTTGCCCAAACAATGGCAGTAGGTGTGGAGTGGCAGTGTTATAGCCGAGACCAGCTCATTCAAGTCAGAGTCCAGGCTGAGACCTGAGTAGGTTGAGTCTGAGACAAGACAGAGAGTGGAAGAGGCTCTGAATGTTTCCTATGGTATGAATGAAGCCTGGTTTCACGTCAGTGTCACGTGACACTCCGCAGCACACAGTGATAGACGATTGCACTGAGAGACCTTGTGTGTGAGTTGGTACTCAGATTTGTAGAACTCAACACTGCACTTGATCCGATTTAAGGCTGAGTCCAAGTGCTCCCGAGTCACGACAAGACCAAGACCAAGAAACTGTGGTGTTGGATTCAGAATCAAGAAGGGCTCGAGACACTGTTTGTAGAAGTGTCACACATTTACTCATCTTCCCTTCCCTTGTTGTCATTTTCAGAGGAGGGTAAGAAGAAGAAGCCGGTGCGTCTGGCGATCCAGCGGAGCGTAGAGACTGGTTTAGCAGTCGAGATGAAGAGCAGGATGACACGGCAGCCCAGCCGAGAGACCACAGAAGACAGTGAAAAGGCAAAACCTGGAAAGTAAGTACTGTAAAATCTACTTCTGAATACGATGGTGCATGTATTCCTAAATCACATGATGCCATCACCACTATTGCTGGTTGGCGGGTTTTGTGTCAGTGATGATGTCTTGTCAGAGGCTATTAGCACCCGATTAATAGATGTTCTGTCCATTATCTGTTCAAAGTCTAATCTTCCCTGGAGTGAAGATCTCTTCAGACAGCCAGTTCACTGAGTTTTTGGATGGTCTTGGCCCCGCCCAACTCGCAGGGAGACAGACACTGGCCACGCCCCCAATGGGTTAGTATCATTGCTTACTGTTTTCTTTTGTTGTTCACATGAACAACTCTCTCTGGTGTTGAATAAGACACTGTAAAGCTCAAAGTGTATTTCAGTTTTGTCTCAAGTAGTTCCAATTCTTCCATGAAACAAGACTATGTCTCCAACTGGTTTTTCCAACTGGTTTTAAGATGTGTTTTCAGTGACCCGATCACCATTACTATTTACACCTGCTCTTAACATGCCATTTACATGCATCTCCTGTTACCATTTGTGTTGGAATTTCGTCTAGACCAGGGGTGTCCAAACCTACTCCTGGAGGGCCACTTTCCTGCAGTTTAGCTCTAACTCTAATACACACACCTGAACCAGCTAATCAAGGTCTACATCCGAAAACCTAGGCAGCTGGCTTGCTGTTATCCGGCAATGACTTTGCAGGCGGCGTTTGCGCACGAAGGCACCTCACAAAACTGATTTCAGACATGCTTCTGAGGCAGCGTAACGGTTTAATCATCTACAACAAAATAGAACGAGCTTGGTGATATCTAAGCCAATATTCAATTACTATAATACTGATTTCTCGCTAGAAATAACATCAAAAGTGCAAAAAGTTGGTCAGAAACATACATTTACACTAGGGGTGTAACGATACACGTATTCGTATTGAACCTTTCGGTACGAGGCTTTCGGTTTGGCATGCATTACAAACCGAATGATTCGTTGGACTAATCCGATTACGTTTGGAAAATAAAAGAGCGTAAAGTGTGTGAATTAAATATAATGTTCTCAGTGTCACTGCACTCAACAAGGCAGCCCAAACGACGTAACAGGCAACGTGCTGTCTGCCCCGTGAAAACCTCCCCTTGCTGGGGTGCGTCGAAAGACGATGATCTTGTATCGACGATAGCCAGAGATATTGTCAAAAACATCAATTATTGGCAAAGTGGATTTGGTATTTCCAATTAATGTAGGCCTGTTACATTCTTATTTTTACTAGGCCTATTATTATTAAGTTACTTTTATTATTAAATTAAAATTACAATTAATTTGCCCCGCAATAGCCTAATTACTGACGCGCTGCGAGGATAACAAAAGATTAGGCTATTTACTCCTCAATTAAAATGTTTTAAAACGGTCTTTTAAAACAGGTCTATTATAGCCTACAATGAATTATTGGCCTATAATTAAAATATTAACACTGCAGTCATCAATAAAAATCAATGCAATAAAAAGCTTCATTTCAAGCACCGACTTTCAAAAACAATCTGTTTAACATGAAATACATTTCTTATTGTTTTTTTCACTACGGGCCACAAGAGAAATATTAAGGGAATAAATTAATAATTAATACCGTAATCAGCATATGTTGAAGTAGATTCATCTTTTGTCGTCTTTGAGAGAATATGCAGCATCAGATGCTGAAAGCTCTGTCATTACTCCGTTATTCCACTTTTACTTTCACTTTCTGCATATAGTGAATTGACTGAGATGAAGACATTCACCGACGTAACTCTTGCGCAAAGTTTGCACGTTGCTTGTGTGATATCCATTGGCTTGCCTTCATGGTTTAAAATAGAAATATTTCCAACATTGAGACGTAACCAATTACCCACCCCGGTATCGAAAACGTACCGTGACACCGCTGTGTCATATCGAACCAAACCATGAATTTTGTGAACCGTTACACCCCTAATTTGCACACAAACTGACCAACAAACGCAACTTTCAGACGCCATCTTTATTTTTTTGCTCGACCATCACGGAATGTAACGCACAGGATTGTGGGATATCAAAGGCAGCAAAGGATACATCTATGCTGCCTTCAAAAATCGACCAGATGAAGGTATCTCAGGAGGCAGGAAGTGAAGCTAACATTGGATTCGAACGAGCCTTGATGCCTTCCTGCCTTGAATTGTGTCCTCTGAAAGCAGCATTTTCCAGTTTTCGGATGCAGCCAAGGTCTCACTAGGCATACTCGAAATTTCCAGGCAGGTGTGTTGAGGCAAGCTGGAGAGAAACTGCAGGATGATGGCCCTCCAGGAGCAGGATTGGACACTCCTGGTCTGGACCCTTCCATCTTATTTCATCGCACTTTACATCACTTTCGCAGGAGCACCGAATTCTGTGCACAAATACTTTCAATCGCATTTACATTACTCGCACTGTATGCATAGACTAGTATAAGTGTAAAAAACAAAGTATACTTTGGGCTTAACACACAAATCTCTACCAAAAAGTAATGTTTTTGTCCATAGCACTGTAATACCTTTAATCAAATTTTTTTTTTTTAGTTTTTAAGTTTTAGTAATTTTGTCATGTGCTTTTGCAATATATGTACTTCAACTTTTTTGTTTTAATTTGTTAATGATAACAACACTGTTGAGGCAAGCTGGAGAGAAACTGCAGGATGATGGCCCTCCAGGAGCAGGATTGGACACTCCTGGTCTGGACCCTTCCATCTTATTTCATCGCACTTTACATCACTTTCGCAGGAGCACCGAATTCTGTGCACAAATACTTTCAATCGCATTTACATTACTCGCACTGTATGCATAGACTAGTATAAGTGTAAAAAACAAAGTATACTTTGGGCTTAACACACAAATCTCTACCAAAAAGTAATGTTTTTGTCCATAGCACTGTAATACCTTTAATCAAATGGTTTCTATGAGGTGTACTTTTGTCTGCTCTAAGAGTTTGGATGTGGCCTTTCTCCGCAGGTGACATCCAGATCGGTATGGTACACAGGAAGAAGAGGCTGGATGTTGAAGTTATTCGGGCTCGAGGCCTGGTGGGCAAACCAGGGAACAAACAGACGCCAGGTATGTCTCATCATGACACAATGCACATTTTTTTCTGTTCCTGGACTATTTTGTGAGGTTTATATGTAAATCCTTGTGGTCTATTATTTGCAGCACCTTATGTAAAAGTATATCTGTTGGACAACGGGAAGTGCATCAACAAAAAGAAAACACGGACAGCGAGAAAAACACTGGATCCTCTTTATCAACAGCAACTTCAGTTTGAGGAGAATCCTGAGGGGAAGGTTTTACAGGTAACACCAGGACCGCATCCTATTGGCTTACTTTAAGTATGAACAATATGTAATACAAAAAAATTATAGTAAAGTGTGTACTTTTCATGTAAGGCTTAATTGTGATGAAAATGTGCCAAATATATTTTATTTCTTATTTCTTTTGATTTGTGGGTGATTTTTGTCTTGGATATGTTTTCACTACATCAGTTATTTTAGCATTATTTATTTACTTTTATAGTATTTATTAATATTGTGACTTTTGTTTTTATATATATATATAAATATATATATATATATATATA